GAGGTGAAGAGATGTATTTTCTTTAGTGTGATGGTGGGGGGAGGAGAAGACGTAGCAGCCCAGGGTCAGCTGGCTCGAGCGGCACCAGATTAGTAGCTATTTGAGATTAAGTGCCACACACGATACAGTGGAGGATCCAATAGTATAGAGGCAAAGACAGATGGCCAGATGCAATGAGTAAATGTACGTAGTGTTGATGTTTGAGGAGGAGGCATGCGAGTTTATAACGGCTACCACAGCACGAGCGGCAGATCGACACAAAATAAGAGTTACAAATTTGTATAAACAAAGTGGCAGAGTGGGCCTATGTAGTATCCTGCAAATGCAGAAGCTATGTTACCGAAAAGCGAGCAAAGCACACATCCATGGGTTGTGTTTTAGCTGGTGTGAGACTGTGTAAGTGTTTAATATAGTGATTGGCAATGGGATCATTCCTTACGAGATGGCATTGGGAAGTGGTTGGAGAGCGCGCGAGCGCAAAGTGTAACACGGGAGGGAAAAAAGAAATCACCTTGATATTGAGTGGGCGAGAGAGAGTTGGGACGAAATTAAAGGTATCACAGAACGATTTAATAGTTCCACTCCAGCGCACACAGAAACACAAAGGAAGTGAGGGATTTATAATCAAGGAGACATAACTGGCCATTCATTATATTTCAACTACTTAGCGTCGGGATTAAGTTTGGGATTAGCATCATTGCTTTGGTCACGTAGGGTCCTGTGTGTGTGTGTGTGTGTGTGTGTGTGTGTGTGTGTTGTTCCGCTTTCATCTTTTGTGTGTGTTTGTTGGTTTTGTTCTACGATTAACAGGTTCGGCCAATAAACCGACAATAACAGACAATGACTTCAATCTTGTTAACATCCTTTATTTGCCTCTTTTCTTCTCTTTAGAGCACAAGAGTAAATTTGCACATTATTGACATGGTACATTTCCTACAAACTTCAAGTATGTTTTAACACCGGTTTAAATCATCAAATTTCAGTTCCATTTTCATATTTTTCTTTGATTTGGCTGATTCAAAACGCTACCTACGAATTAAGGATAATGTTGGCTTTCGGAGAGCTAGGCTAAGGGCACGAAAACGACTTGGTCGAGGGAAGGGAACGATCCATACGGACCCTGTTTGACATTGGGATTAAAAAGAGCTCATACAAAGGTTTAAAGGAAAAGAAACGTTGAACACACTAAGTATATGAATTATTCATCATGTTAGGAAAAGCGAGGCAAATCGATTCCATGGACGACGGAGACTTATCGGTTTTTGGATTGTTAACTGGGGACACGCTTGTGAATTGACAACGGTCCTACCAGGTTTATTTTGTTTATCCTCACCTACACCATGGGAACCCCACGAATTACAAACACCCAGGCGACCAACTATATTCACTATCCTATATCTATATCTATTATCTACAGCAGCGAGCACACACAACACTACCTATATCGAAAGGCTGCTAACATAGGGATTTTGCGGACTTTCACATATCATGTCTTCTATCTCGCCCGAGCGTGGGTTTTCCGCAGCTTTTTCGTATGGCTATCGGCTTCCACAATGGATATCAAACGTTCCCCATGGCAACAGGAGGAAAATGAAATCTCCACTCATTTGTGCCATGAAGTATGAAAAATCATCTTATATTGGGCATTTGTCGGAAAAATAACCTTAACTTGAGTGCTTGAGTCGTTTTTTTTTTGGGCGACTTTGGCAACGAACAGGAATCAGCATGGGAGCTTAATGATAATCATATTCCATTGGTATATCCGAAGCCTCCCACGCGTCAATTCTGTTCGCAGCAGTCGTCTTATCGGAGCCAGGGACATATTATCGGCATGTAATTCTATGACACCGCAGTGAGAGTTGGCTACGGCCTCTTACTCCCCTTTAAAAAAAAACAACTTGATGCAGGTACTATTTGCAGGCATTTCTAGAGATTTTGCTTGCACCATAAGGACGACTTCGACCTTAGAGCTGTCTTTTTGGTACCCAGTACATGGAAGGACAATATTGCATAATCCGGCCCGCCTTTTCTTATTTTTTCCTATTGAAGGAGGTGGGGACTTGTCATTCATATTCCTTTACAGTGGGACATGTCCATACTTTTCTACTTTAGTACGTTAAGCTCCTTTCCAGCCCGGTCATAGCAATTTGAGAAATTTGTAATTTAGGACATTTGTGAACGCGCGACATCGTGAACACACTACGGCGATTAAGGGATACTAAAAATACTTCATCTTGATGCGCATGTGGAATTATACATCCAATATGGCGCTAATTATGTTAACCTATTGTGTATCTATGTTTATTTCTCATATGACCCATGTATATTAGAATCATTGTCTGACGGCTCGCGTCACTTGAGCGATTTGCCCTGCCAAGTCTGATTTGGGTTAGCTCACATTTAGCCTAGTATTACCATGAACATTCCCCCTACTGACAGGGTTGTGAAGGTGAATTATCTCGTGGCCATGCGTTACTACTACTACCTGGTGACATTGGATAAAAAAAAAAATAACGCGTGGCCACGCATTAATATCTCGTGGCCAGGCGTTATTTTTTTTAAATCCAATGTCACCAGGGGGGCTCCGTACTTCAGTGCAACAATGTTGATTATTTTTAATTAACATTATATTGCACCTATTAGACCTCCACTTGTGCACTGTAAACTGGTGGACATTTAGAAATATTATCTTCGCTTGGCCACCTGCCTAGGCCCTGGTAGAAAGTTTTGGTTGGTTTTTTATCAATATACACTTTAGTTACATGTGGGCCAAAATGCTTACAGTAAATGTTATTACCGGTAAATGTGTCTTGACTGCAATTGCAATATTAGTATCTAAATTTACATAGTGTTAATAATCTCCCTTGTTTGAGTGTGTTGCAGCTGCTAGGTTCAATACAAGGTTCATAAAGGATAGTTTGATATCTTCATGTACAGACATCGCTGCGTTAATGTGTTGAAAATAAGATATTGGTCTCGCGTGTAAGTACACACTAGAGTTGAGCGAGTACCTGACTGAAATGAGTATCCGGTACAAATGATTTCTTTTTTACCATCAGAATATCAGAGTAGAATGTGTCAATATCAGCATTTGTAAATATAGCAACTTTAATATGAAAAACATACTGTGATGAAAACATTCTTCTGAATCTCAATTCTAAAATAGTTTTCTAATAAATACAGTACCTTCTGATCAACAAATACCAATTTCTTCATTTAACAACTTCTGGTTAGCAACACCCACGTCCATTCAGATATAATACAAATATAGATCATTTAGTTAATTGAGCAGATACAGTGACGGATGTGAAATTCTTACCAGATCGGACATGGCGAGATTCTCACAAAACTTGCAACGACAAATCTACATTGAATGTTGTCATCCGATTATTTAAAAAGGGTAAAGGCAGCAGAAGATCAAACACACATTAAATGCAGTCCCTATTCCGCCTCCTGAAGAGCACTGCAATAAATGTATCACTTCATTAATCATCTCTTTTGCACAAAGTATATAAAACTGTTGTGGAGTACTACTGCATGTGTGAGAAAAGTTGTTTAAAGACTTCTGTGGCTTCACAGGGGAGCTGTGTAATAAATTGCCTCGAGTGATGTCACTTGAGTCAGCGTCGGTTGGGGCTGAAGGCACAAGTTGGAAAATTCAAACAGTCTGGGGGCGTGGGGTTAGAAAGCAGTAAGCTACATTAGCCACTACTGTCATAACACACGTGCATCTCTGGTCGAGTTGCATTGTGGGTAATGTAGGTGCCAGGTTTTGACAGGGAAGAATAATACGTTGAATAGAGTGCAATGCTAAATCATTGGAGTACTTTTTTGTTTGTTTGTTTGTTTTTGCTTTCTTTACTGGTTCCAGCTTCTCAACCATGAACATTTCCTGGCTTTCTTCTTCTATGATGGTAAATTTAATATTTTACCTGAGTATCTGAATGTCAGACACAACAACCAATTTCAATATGTCAGCTTGGCAAATTTGGATGGGCATTTTTCTAAAGAAACAAAAACAAAAAACAAAGACCAAAACAATTAATAGATACTTACAGCCCTACAACTTATGACTTATAATAATCATCTTATGCACAATTAAAGAATACTATCTAGTTTAATACATAGTAACGTTTTGCATACAGCCTGTGAGCAAATAGGAATTACACAAGAGTTACCACACAATGTATCGTCACTCTATTGCAGCATAAATCGCCATCTAATAAAAGATGAAATTGATGGGAAAATGTATGCAGGGACTCACTTTGAGAAGTGGGGGCGAGCGCCCATCCGTATTAATGAACATCCACCTCATGATGGTCATTAATTAAAGCTCTGACAGCGGGATAAGTTTAAAAATCCATTTACTGATGCAGCCAGAGGAGAGTTATCATTACTTTCCGCTCCCCTCCCTTGCACACCAGGTGCCATATATTGCACAAGCATTGTGGCTCATGTCTCAAACATTGGCATAACATAAGTGTCTTTAACAGACAGATGAATCCAGCAGTGTTGTGTATTTCTGAAGAGGGCTTGGTGAGCATTAACATTAAGAGAAGTCTAGATTTGTCCTTTGCAATGCCTTTAGAGATATTATCAGTCTCATAGCTATACATAATGTATATTAAATAACACCCCCCCCCCCCCACTTCCAGTTTGTTCCATTCAGAGACTACATCGACAGATCTGGCAACCAGGTCCTGAGCATGGCCCGGCTGGCTAAGGATGTCCTCGCCGAGATCCCCGACCAGCTGCTGTCTTTTATGAAGAGCCGAGGAGTTGAACCGCGACCAGCCCTCTCCTCCTCACCACTGCCGGAGCTACACCGGCATATCTGACCCCGACACAGTTGCTCGACTTTGCCTCTCTCTCTCTCTCTC